AGGATATGTGATCCCTTTCTACTACCACTAAGAAGTATGGAGATAGACATAATTCGAAGTTCGAAACTTAAGAATAAAAAAAAGTCCTGGAACAAAGTGATTTTTCTTTTTTAAAATGGATTCTACATGATGCGAGGTCGAATAAATTGGATTAGGAGTTCCAACATCAAATGTTAAACTTTGAAGAATATGTCACTTTCAACTTGCTTAAATGCTTGAGAAAAATTGGAAATAACTGAAATTTAAAATAAAATTAAAATTATGTTCAAAATAATTTTTGAAAATTGAATCAGGGCCAAAAGCAAATAGAGTTGCCTCGGAGCTTAACACGGCCATTTCATGATAGAATCACGTGATAGCCATTAGGAATAAAGTGGACAAAGACGCAAGAAAACGTAATGTAAGGTGGTCTTTTTCTATTTATTTAAGGTTTATTAATGGCAAGTTGGTCGCGACATTACTTTCATAGTACTGATAATAACAATAGAGATAATTATATAATATTAGATCAATTCAATTCACATGCACATCGCGTCTCTTTCAATTAATTTTAGTGTTACGTAAGACAATGCATATCTAAACGTTGTTCCCTTGTAATCACGATTGAGCTTTACTTGTAATGAAATTGTACTCCATCATTATATGTCCTTAATTAATACTACCATATATCGACATTAACTCTAAAATCATTAGTTGGGAAATTTTAGGCTTCATTTATTTGCACTTAATGGTGATATGAATCTTAACTAATCAAATCTCAATCATTAAATGTGTTTATTTTTTAGATTTGAATCTTAATTATTCAAATTTTAACCATTAAATTTATTTGTTTTAGCAGGCATTTAGATATAAAATTTATAATTTTTGAAAAAAGTAGTATTTGGAGTTAAGTTGAAAAATAGTATTTGGAATTTGAAATTATGTTTGAACATGTATTTCATTTGAAAAAATATTGCCGTTTTGTGAGTGGGGAAAAAATTTTAAAAACATGGTCAAAACCACTTTTTGGTTTTTGAAAAATTCATTTTCGAAATTTTTCATAAACTTGCAAAATTTCATGGACAAACATATTTTTTAAATTTGAAAAGGGCAGCCCGGTACTCTAAACTCCCTCTATGTTCGGGGTCCGCGAAGGGCCGAACCACATGGGTCTATTGTACGCAGCCTTAGCCTGCATATTTTTTAAATTTATTTTTGAAAAAGGGGAATTTTTTTTAAACGGGGCCTTAATGTGTCAAAGAAAATTCTTAATCTTTTTAAATGCCATGATTAGAGAAGCACCGTTGGAAGGAAGTAGTACTACTAAAAACTACAAGTTCTTATTACCAAGAATATTTAAATAATTTAATAACATATGAAAGAACGTTAGGTGAAAAAAGAAAAGTTGTTTGACCTTACAAATGGTAATTATGTCATTGTCCTGTGGAATATGTGATTATGAGGCAACTGGTATTAATTATCTACATTGAATTTTCGAGTTTTTGAGCAATATTGTCCCTTATCTTTGAGGGTAGGTTTGTTTTGGTCCCTCAAATATAATCATGAGCATATTTAGTCTCTTAAGTATGCTAAAGTGGAGCACCTTTAGTCTCACTGACAGAATCTGTTAAAAAACTTAGCATGTTAACCAACTCTGATTCATGAAGCAAATCTTCTGCTATGAAGCAAAACGTTTCCTCTCCTTTTATGGGATAACACAAATTTTAATTCCTCAGTTTTAGATAATGTCTTCTAAAATTTTGACCTTAAAAATATCCCCTTCTGTGCCAGTTTTCAATGAGAAAATGATACTGTATACCGGTGTAAAAATAATAGCCAAAAAAATATAAAATTTATATATTATTTTATATATCTACATTTTGTATGTTAATATACAAAAATTATATAAATTTTATATATTTTTTCGGTTACCAAATGTAAATAGTTTCTGGCGCGGGCTAAAAGTGATAGTATAATTTGGTTGTTCGTTTGCTTCAATAATATGCCTAGAAGTGATCTTGGCAGCTCTATTTTTATCAAATTTCAACTTTCATTTTTGGAAAAATCAACATAAATTTTTAAAAGCAAAAGTTTCAACGATAAAATCTTAAATTTATCAGCTCTAGCTCTGTACTATTAGTGGGTGTTGGTTTATAAAATATTTTCGATAAGTAAATTAAAAGACGGTGAGTGCCGAAACCAACCCCGTAGTTGATCTTAGACGATTCTGTCAGTGAGACTAAAGGTGCTCCACTTTAGCATACTTAAGGGACTAAATATGCTCAGGGTTATATTTGAGGGATTAAAATAGACCTACTCTCAAAGATAAGGGACAATATTGATCAAAAACTTTTGAATTTTTCGTAGTCTTAATTTCATTGGTGTACAAATATAGTAACAATTGATAGGCAGTCCCAAACGCCTTTAAATTCCATAATTTCGCTCTGCGGTGCAAATCTAATGCGAAAGTTTTGTCAAAAGTCGCAAATATGAAAACTCTAGGAATTATCGTTTTTCTCTTTTCCACAAGTTGTCTGGTATTTACTTTAGGAAAGACTAATATTGTTGGAAATTAAACCAAGATTAATTAGTATTCTTAAGTTATTTAGGATTTGGTTTATTAAATTCATGTCTAAATAGAATTTGCAGTTAGAATAATATAGGAATAGGTTTTCTTGTCTTTAGTTGAAATAGGTTTCGTACTATTATAAATAAGGGTATTAATAGGTTATTTTATGTGTGGAGATTTGTGAGAATTGTGGAGAGCTATCAGAGAAATTAATAATAAAATATTTTCCTTCAAATTGGTATCACAGCCTTTGTAAGATTCTGTTTGAGTCGGTAGGAGATCCAAAATAAAATGGATACTCTATTACCTAATTGTCCCGTTTTTGTGTTTGATGGCAAAAGTAATTTCAAAATTTGGTATCAACAGATGAAGAATATTTTTAAGGCTATTGGATTATGGTCCACCATTGATGAAGGATTTGAGGAGCCCATAGAAGGCACAAACGTTGACAGGTGATGCAGCTACGCAATTGGAGAAGAAGAGACATTTAGATTATAAGGCACGCTACTATCTCGCCATCAAGGTCGAATTGCATGTATCTAGAAAATATTTGCATGCAAAGTCATCAAAGGAGGCTTGGACAATCTTGGTGAAGTCATATCGAAAAGTTGCTGACATAAAGAAGGAGAAACTACAAGAGTTTAAGAGTCAATTTGAGTTGGCTCGTATGAGACCAACAGAGTCTATCAAAGAATTTTTTACAAGAATTGAAGAAATAGTCAATGGTCTAAGGACCAATGGAGAAGTATTGGAAGAAGTTAAAATTGTTGAAAAAATATTGCAGTCTCTAAGTTTAAAGTTTAGCAACAAGAAAGTTATTCTTGAGGCTACCAAAGATCTTAGTACTCTCGGACTTGATGATTTAGAAGGTGAATTGGTGACATATGAGAAATCATCGAATCAACAGAAAGATGAGACATTGGAGGAGGCATCACAAGAAAAAGATGATCAACCAAAAGAAAAAGAAGACACATCAAAGGTGACGAAAATAAATCAAGAAGGCCGAAAATTCAGAAACAGTGGAGAAAAGAAGAGAAGGTACATGTAATTGTTGTGATAGAGATTCTATTGAATGCAAAGGGAAGTCAAATAATATTCAAAATTGATCTGCCAAAATTTCTCTGGTTGTTAAAAAGGAAAATTTAGTTGCAAGGGACTTTCTTCCAAAAGAGGTTGGTGTTTCACCTGAAAAGTTATTTGATAGTATTGAAGATGAACCTATTAACGAAAAAAGCAAGATGATTCATCAAGAGAAAGTCTCTGATGATCTGCACAAGATTGGGATGAAAATAGCTTGGGATCTAGAACCAGAACAACACATGATTATAGATACTGAAGATGTAATCAATTTCGTGCCATTGTTCGAGATTACATGTTTCGAGGAGCAATTAGAGAAGTAGATGATTTCAAAGTAAAGGAAAAATATGTTGATGATATTTTGAAGGAATTTACCAAGGTTATATCCAAATCATATATGACCAATATTAAAGAGAAATTGAAGTTAACTAAAGATGATACTCGTGATTTTACTGGTGCTACATATTTTAGGAAATTGGTGAAAAGCCTAAGGTATTTGACTTTTACAAGATTTGATATTACTCATGGCATGCTCAAGTTTGAAGATCTTGGTTTAAGGGAGGCTGTTGGAAATTAAATCAAGATTAATTAGTATTCTTAAGTTATTTAGGATTTGGTTTATTTAATTCATGTGTAAATAGAATTTGCAATTAGAATAATATAGGAATAGGCTTTCCTATTTTTAGTTGAAATAGATTTCGTACTATTATAAATAGGGGTATTAGTAGGTTGTTTTATGTGTGGAGATTTATGAAAATTGTAGAGAGTTTTCAGAGAGATTAATAATAAAATATTTTCCTTCATATGAATTCACATAAGAATATTTAACTTTGAGAATTAAAATGCTCCGCATTAATGGAGATTTTATTTCCAAACTCGAATTCAAGAGTTAAATAAATTAAAAAAATAAGAAATAAAAAATACTTGCCCCTTATCACCACATTCGGGGGTCGTTTGGTTGGAAAGATGTTATCCCGGGATTAATTATTCCGGAATTAGTTATTCCCTCTTTTTATGGAGATAAGAAAAACTACCATCCCAGGATAATTAATTTCGGGATTAATTATACCGCAATTTTTATCCAACCAAATATTGGTATAAACTCTTCTTAAATTTAGTCCCGAGATTAATTATTCCTTATCTCTCATACCAAACGAGCCCTCAACGGTTAAACAGGGGAAGAGTCAGCCTTATAGCTGTGGGTTCGACAGAATCCGATAGTTTTGACTTAAAACTTGTATTTTGTGTTAAAAAGTTTATTGAATATATATGCAACCCACTAAGAAAAAATGGTTACCTTGGAATTACTTGTTAAAACCATATCACTGTTGTGTGATGGAATTAGAGAAGCAAAGTATGAGGGGACGATCGCAAGTTAAAAATACAAAAACACACATGCATTCCTACATCACTTAAAATCAGAAAAGGCCAACTTACACTAAAATTTCTTCTCCAAGATTTAATTATCATCAACATTACAATCTACAAAATCCAAAACTTTCGGGAGAAAAAATTATAACCAAAGTGCTAATAAGCTAACACAATATAACACAAACTTATTTCATTTTTAACCTTCTAGCTCCTTTCATTTTGCTTTCAAATCAAGAGAATAGCAAATTTTCTTGAAGGTAGGCGAATTGTCTTGGTAAAGAGGAATGAAAGCATCAATACTTCCATCTCCAATGAAAGATGGCACAAGAAACATCATACCTTCAGTTGGATAATAAGAAGGCATGAAAACAAAAGGGCAACCTGTTCCAAAATCCAAGTCATAGAATGGAAACCTTAACCAACTATCAACTTCCAAATTAGGACAAAGTGTATCCTTCTTCATGTCTGCTGTTGGGATGAGATCTTCTGTTACTTTATGATTTGCAAAGTCAATAAATGACTTGAAATACTTGTCATCTACTTTAGTAATAGCATCATGAATTATTTTTGTTGCATAGTGAAGTGGTTCATTTACAAGATCTCTCACTTTGGATGTTGGAAATGCCCAAAGAACTATGTTACCAAAAAATTCATCTGCTACTCTTGGTACAACTCTTCTGCGACCATCCACTGAGATTCTTATTTGTGTATTTTGGGACCCGTCTAGTTCGCGTGCCTTAGTTATGACCCTCCATAAATGCGCAACAAGACTTTCAAACGTGCTATAAGTCTTGGTTTTCCCATTCATGAAAGAAGCATTTGCCTTGAGTTTGCCTAGGAACTCCAATGTGAAATGGACTTTGTGAACAATTATGTTTTTTTCTGTATTCTCTAGTTTGATGAATTCCTTCTTGTTTAATGATTTGGACATGAATTCTGCCCCCACGTGGTTGAATTCGATAAGTGGAGGGTTCCGAGGATGGAAAATAGCACGATCATGCAAAGGAAGTGGAGTGATTTCTACACCACGGCAAGCTTGGCCCCACGCGACGAAAAAGTTGCTAGCCGCGTGGCCGTCAGCTATCATGTGGTGGCCAGTGAACCCGACCATCACAGAGCCACAAGTGAACCTTGTGACTTGAACTTGGATCAACTCCACTACATCCTTCATACCAGGATGCAACTTAAGCAAAGAAGGAGAGGGCTTTAAGGGCAATACTTCATCTAACGTGGCATTGACCGATGCCTCGATGAATCTAACACCCTCATCGTTGAGAAAAACCACGCGATTGCCATTTTCATCTCTGCCTATTCTACCTGCCCATTCCCTATAAACTGCTAGGGTTTTTCTGAGTCCCATTTCAATGGTGGAAGTTGGAGGAGTAGGTGGACGATAGGCGTAAATTAAAGCCATTAAAGCATCATAGGTAACGTTGTCAAAGACATTGAAGGAAATGTGAGTGTTGGTTGAAGGTGGAGTTCCTTCATAGAAAGGCTTGATAATTCTTGAGCTCTCAATTTTCACATTCATGGTTTTCTATTTCTGTGCTATAATTTCTCTAGAGAGGGGTATTTTGTTCGGTTGATACTGTCACTGGTTGGCCTTTTATATAGTGAACATATGCACCTTTTTACACTTGGGGGTACTCAATTATTCGGGGTTCATTAGGAAATAAATTATTCCATGATTAATTATTTCGGGGTTAGTTATTTCGCTTTTTTATAGGAACAAAAGATACTACAATTCCGGAATAATTAATCCCCAGATTCGTTATACTACTTCCTCCGGTCCATAATAAGTGATCAATTTGTTTTTGGCACACCCATTAAGAAAATACAAAATTCTAGACAAAAGTAGTTAGTGTGCCCTTAATTAAATGTTGCAACATAGTTAATGTGAGGAGTAAAAGACTTTTTTAGGAATACGTACATAAGGGTAATTTTGAAAAAACAAATTGAATTTTTTCTTGGTTATATAAATGGACACTTATTTTGGACCAAAATGAAAAACCAAATTGGTCACTTATTATGGACCGGACGCAGTACAATTTTGTCCCAACCAAACATGAAATAAATTCATCTTAAATTTAATTCCGAAGTTAATTATCTCTTATCCTCGTACCAAACGAGCCCTTAGTATGTATAGTTGAGGCATTTTTGTTTTCCAGAAGGTGACGTATTAAATTGGTAAAATAAAAAGTTTTGCCAATTTGTGTTTGCAAATGTCTTTTTATACGAAAATTCCAACTTTTCACGAGCTTTCACAAATAAATCACGTGCTTGACATCTACTTGAATTTGTCAAAATTTCACGTGTTTTGGATCACACCTACCGCTGCCAAGTTTTATCGGAGGAAAGTATAGGCTAGCAATGAACCACCATAAGCCACCTCCTTCACCAACTAATTCCACCATCAGTCGCAATGACGGAGTTAAATATTAGGTACGGGTTCGGATAATTTTAGTAATTTTTGCTTAAATGTTATATGTATATAAGAAAATTTATTATATATATAAATATTTAATTGCGAATACAATAATTAAAATAAGTTATGAGTTCGATATCAATTTTAGAACACAAAAAACTTCAAATCATGATTTTGTTGTCACCTCTGGGCAATTTTATTTTCCAAAGATAAAATTTGGACAGTAATTTAAACATATTAGATAAATGATTCAAGAAAAAGAATCTATAAATAATTAACAATACTTTGTCGTAACCAATTTTTTAGGTTTCCTCGGTAACATAAAGTTAATATAAATTGAATTACACAAGTTTCTATTATTTTTGAGGTTTTTCAATTTTATATTTATCTATGAGGGAATACCATTTAAGACAGTTTTCTCTCATCTTTGAGGGTTAAGAATAC